AGTGGTTTCGAGATCGCCTGAGAACACAGTCAATAGTTACTTCAAACTCAAGCACTTACAAAGGTATCACTAGCCGCCAAAGACAACAAAGCGGCTGACCATCTTCAAACGCTCTTTCTATCTACCCCACTTTTAGTTTATAACTATACTTAGTCAAACCATGTCAATTTCTCGGTTCCTAATGGACCCTACAAGTTTAAAAGTGTAGAAAAATATTTCATGGCTTATGGAGAAGAAAAGTGCCATCCCAACATGATTTTCCCATAAACTTAAGCTTATCTTCTATCTCATCTATACAACTATACCGCGAACGTTCTTAGCTGTCCCTCACCTCGCATGTCTAACATCATCGTTCATGGTATCCAAAGTATTTTCACTAAAGTCGTGCTCCATTTTTTCTTCAGTCTCCTCTTCCTAAACAAAGCAAAATCCCTAATTCCTTCATCAAACCACGGCAACACGAGGATAAAATACTCGTGCACATCTCCATATATAGCGGTCTTGCAACACGTTTTGAATTCGATCTTCCCAGATCTGGGTAACGCAAAAAAGAGAGTTGGTTACGACTTTCTGGTGGAAGTTGTTCAATATCCAACAAAAAAAACCACGCAAACACGCTGCTTTTTAAAACAAATGGTGAGACTCCTCAACGGCGCAAACGTTCTCCTTGGAAACAAAGATGTACCCAGACCTAAGTATAAAATAAAGGATTAAGCTCTCAGCGTTCAACAATCCCTGAGGGTTGCGCCTTGCGTTCGACTTCATTGAGCATCGTTGGAGCGACTGAATGCATATCAGGCCTCTACAATGACTCGCGGTGGCCTACCGATGTGTCGAGCTAATGCTGCTATCCTTCCAGACAGGTCTGGTGCCAATTTACCGCCGCTGGAGGTATGGACGGCTTGGTGAGCTTGAGCGCAAGGATCAATCCCATGTGTATTGCAGGGCGCCTCCGACCACTGCGCTACACGCTCCCTACGCGCCCGATCTAAGTTTAGGAATATTAGACCTCCATGGAAGAAACTTTGCGAAATTACTTTGAAAACTTCTCCCGCAATCTGGAAACGTTGAAGGAGCTTATTTTTAGCTCGCAGAGCAACGACCTCATCAAGCTGGGAGACAACCTGAGCTCTGGCGTCTTTTAGTTCAGTATTGCAACGACGTAGCTGTACTGACACAGACCTGCAAAGGATTTTCTCAACTTTCATCAAGTAAAACAAAAGCGAACAGCTTCTGAAAGATACAAGACAGTATTAAACACTAGACAATCCCATGAAGTAAGCATGTCTGGTGGTCAAGGAAACTAACTCCAGCTCCGCGCTAACTTTCCCGTGGCTTTGCTCATAATACATGGCCTTCTCCTCCGCGGCCTTCCATGCCACGCGGAGTCTTTCCATTTGTTCTAGTAGGCTGAGCATTTCTGAAACTCTGGTAATCCGATAGAATCCGAAACACAAAACCATAGCCAAACACACAAACCATTCAAAGAAACCGATATAGATCCTTGTTTCTCGGCATTTAAAGCTGCATATAATTGCATAACCTTACGAGAATCCTCGCTTGAGTGAGCGACTGAGTCCGCCATATTGTGCACTATGGTCTTAAAATCACTAAGTGATACCGCTAGACAATAAACAGGTTTTCAGGATAAATGACAATTGCTTCTAAAAAGCGAGGAAGAAAGCGATCAGATCAGATTAAATTGGTACATGGACGGTCAGCCCTGGCAACGAGTAAGGATGGCAGAAGCGAAGTCAGAAGTCTTCGTAGGCGAGTACCCATAGGAACGTGGGCTGCTAAGAAGAGGTATCCACAATTGGGAACTGCTAAGGAAATCACAAAGTGACGTGGTTCACAGAACTGTGCTCAGAAGTTGTAGTAATTGGCACACACACACAGATACTAACTGGTAAGAACAGGACCGGCTAAACAAGTTAATTGTTCCATGGTTTTTTCCAACAAATCAAACCATTCTATAACTTGTACGGTAAAATCAGTTATCGGTAAATTTAGACAGGTTTTGGATCTAACGTAAACATGTATTTTCATGTTCGATGGCTAAAGTATCGGCGACATGGCCTTTTCCAGACCTTAGATGTATTGACACACAGCCGTCTCCATATTGTGTGGTGAATATTCTATAAAGCTCTAAAACTTTCGGTCTTGATCAATCCCTGAGGGATGCATCATGCATTCTACTTCATTAGACATGGTTGGAGATGAATGAATGCATATCTAACCTTCACACCGACTCGTGGTGGCTACCGATGTATCGAGCCAGTGCTGCTATCCTCCCAGATGGAAGGCTATGCAGGCTTATATTCTATAGTCATAACAGAAAAAAAGTCTTTTAGAAACTAAACCGAACGCCTGTCGGTTAAGAAGTACTCACCGTTTTCGTTGTAGAATATAGACAAACCGTCTGTACTTCACACGCAATGATGAATGGACCTCACTCAAACCGGAACACCAAACGGAGATAAGGTGCCAAGTCATGCATGAGTGATAATGATATGGTTTATTCCATAATGTTCTAGATCCTCGATGCTTCTTCGAAACTATTTCAAGAGGAGATGAAGGAATGCTTGCACTCCGTACAAGTAGCGATATCCAATGGCTACAAAACAATAGCCAAGCAGGTTTAATGCACGGGTAGACCTAGGCCACAAAACAGTCCTTTTCCAAAATCAAATCAAAATGTCCCTGCTAGGTTGTCCTTTATACCGAACGAAAAGGCACCCCTTCAAGGTGCCTAAAACACAGCTTTCTGCAGACTATTGCCTCAGTTACTGAGTTTCTACAAAGAACTCTACGTCATGGGTTGGTTCGGACTCGCTTATACAACCGACTACACAAAACAGCAAACTGTGTGAGTTACCTCAGCGGCAGAAACGAAGACTGCATCAACTAAGGTACAACATACTCTGTCTCGTATGAAATGCTATGATGAATATACTGGTCAGACGGCGAGATCAATTTTTCGCCACATAGGGCATCTATATGGGGAACTTAAAACCCGACGTGCTACTGCTTCGATTACGCACAAGATACGAAACACGAAGATGAAGAATCTGAAGCGACAGTCACAGTTTCAGCGCAGCAATCTAAAACATCAACGCGAAGAACCCTGGAGACATTCTAGAGATGTCTCAAAAATCCGAAAATGAACAGAAAGGGCGGACGGACTACCACACGTCACTAAGCACAGTGTCCCGGATTAATTTCCTGATCGTAGTGGCGTTCACACCTCATCGCCTTTGAAACACATGCGGGCAGTCCAGCGTCAACAGATTCGTGACACTTCGGATGGAGACGTCCAAACGTGACAGCATGATGTTCAGCCGACAGCCAATGGAAAACGGATCCCTGCAGTGGCACTGAAGTCGGAAAAGGCGCTCCCAACACACAACAATTTATAAAACACAGTTTTCCATTCCATTCCTGTATAAAAAGCATAAAGTTCTCGACGTTGATCAATCCCTGATATCCCATGCACCCATGGATACCCCATGCCTTCGACTTCATTAATCATCGTTTGGAGGTATCTGAATGCATATCTGGCCTTTACAAAGACCCGCGGTGGACTAACGACTTATCGTGCCAGTGTTGCTAACATCCCAGACAAGTCCGGTACCAATTTACCCACCCCGGAGGGATGAAAGGCTTGGCATACCCTGGGCGCCGAGATCGATTCCACACGTGCTGCACAGCGCCTCCGACTACTGCGTTACACGCGCCCAATACTCCCGAATATACACCCGGAAATACGGCACTTAGAGACATTGCCTGGATATGTGGTACTAAACTACTCAGAAGGCTTTTGTTCACGCACTTATTGGGAATGAATAGCGCAGTGGTAGTGATTCCGTCCATTACATGGGCGGATAAACCTAACAATGGTTTCGTTTCACCCGCCACCGCACCTATCAAGCCTCTCATCCACTCATGCCGAGTAATCTTTATCAGACTTGTCTGGGACTAACACCCTCTAATCAACATGGGAACGCCTTAGCATGGCTATCTTAAGATTCAGGAGATTTGAGTCGACCAGCATTCAAAAACATTCACAACAAGAAGAAACAAATGGTCGAGCACCACCTGTATCCACAAGGAAAAAGTCGCAAATGTTCGTGGATGGTTAATGCGACGAAAGGAATCGAAAGTGAGGAATACTGATACCCCCACGCATTGCTACACGAGTTTCCAAGTCGTTTTTCAGAGTTTTTCCAAATATATATGATAAAGATGGAGTACTCAAATATAAATATTTCAGGTCAGCAGAATTAATTTGTACACAGGAAGAACCTGCACTGTGCTGCAACGAAACGGGCGTTTACCAATATCACCTAATGCATTGCATGTTTGAAAGCGATCCACAACTCTTACTCTCCAAATCGTTGACTCATGTCTCCCAGTTAACGACGAACAATGAATCTCGGACAAGACTCGGTGTTTGTATAGCTAACACAAAACTGCTTGTCGCCCGAAGTGTACCCACTAAACGTTACGCGTTTTGAATGTGACAAAACGCAGACGGTGAGTACTTCAAAAACATTCAATGTGGTCGTTTGACAGCTTAATTCAGTAAAACCTTTCAACCCCCCACAATTACACATACGGTTTATAACTGCTGCTAGCCCATTTTCAAATAATCCAGATGATTACAACGAACGAAACTCACTCCTACTTTACAGTACTACTCATTTTTGAGGCAACCAATTCTAGACGAGCATTACTATGTAAGGCGATGCCAGAATAAACCAAAGTATCGATTGGTTCTTAGTGTGAAAATGCAAACGAACTACATCAAATGGGATTAAAAATGTTACCTAGAAGTTAGTACTAAACTTTATGTTAGACTTTTAGACTTCTACCCAGAAGATTTTTCATCTGAAAACCGTAACAGCGACACCGCGAAAGAAACACTTATGCAAATATGTTTACTTTTAACAAGAAAAAAGAGAGAAAACAAACGTTGACCGTTAGGTAAAGTCGGAAAATTACATAGCGCGACTGAGAAAATCATGATATCTCTGGTATGGGGTCTTGTCCAGAGGCTCCTCTTTCCATAAATCAGGTGTGAGATACGAATAAGTGCGCTGGAGTGCAGCATAGGTGGCTTTCGCAAAGTTTCCAAGGGTAGCCGTAGATCCCGTGGCGGATGTATAACAGTCTTGAATCCCCGCCATTTGCAAAAGTTTCTTCGGGACAGGAGCGGAGACAATTCCGGTACCACGTGGGGCCGGTACAAGCCTCACCGTGACGGAGGCGCATTTTCCAGTGACTTTACAGGGAACAGTGTGAGGAAGACCGATTTTGTTACCCCAGTAACCACGTCGAACTGGGATAACGGCTAGCTTAGCGGCAATGATGGCACCACGAATAGCCGTTGCTACTTCTTTCGAACATTTCACTCCGAGTCCAACATGACCGTTGTGATCTCCGATGGCAACAAATGCCTTAAATCGAGTACGCTGACCAGCGCTGAAAAAGATATTTGAGAAGTCTGTATGGTTTCCAAATGTAATAAACTTGTACACCATAAAACGACTAGATCTGTAACTCACGTTGTTTGCTTTTGCACAGGAGTGATCTTGAGCACGTCATCAGTAAGCTTAGAGCACAACGTGTCAATAATTTCGTACTCCTAAAGTGAATCTAATGAGGAACAAGAAAACATAGGCCCAGGATTTAAGTGAATTCAGCATCACTGGGTCAGAACATGAACTTTTTGAATAAATAGAAGTACTGAACGCTTAGCATAATCGATATGGAAAGAAGTATAGAAAACTTGTTCGATATTTCGGTGATATACATGCAGCAAAACGTTGCACATACGACCATTATTATACAATTGCTTTAGGCGGTTTTCGGCCCAGACGACACAGCGGCATCGATTGGTTCCTATCCGCCACCATAAAAGATAAACAAGCGTATATAAGTACCTTGATCGGAAGAGAATTAAGGTATATCTCCTCAAGGGTTGTGATCTTTCCATCTTTGACAAGACGTCCAAGTTTCGTTACCGGTACCCATTCGGACTCCTTCTCACCTCCACGTCCGGCTCTGGCATAAGGACTGTTTAGTTGGGAACGAAAACGAAATCTTCCAATAATTTAGTCTGTCTATGAAAAAGTTTTTGTTGTTCGCAATGGTAATACACATGTACCAGAGAGATACACATATGACCTTTAATACGACCAAATAATATTGGCGACTTACGGCCCAACTAACGCACTAGCGATAATTGGTTCCTGTTCGCCTCTAAACAGAATGTGACAAATCAAAATGAATAACTTAGTGTTCGCAAGTGGAACCTGCTAAAACTGTGGAAGCGAGAGATAAACCGGGTCCCAATGTGGACGATTGGTATTACGTGTGATATTGATTTCTCTCTAACAAAACAATATACTGATTGGATAAGAAACTGTAAAACTTAACTAAAACGTTCATTTCTTACAATAAAGAGACTATCGGAACCATCTTGAGCATCTCCCAACGGTTCACCGCCTCATCGCGGCTGGGAGGTGTTCCTGGGTGTCGGACTACGATGTACAGCGGGGATTCATTTCCCCAGCACGATCTCCTAAGATGAGGAGTCCAGCAATTCCGACGGGAAGCTTACCGAAGAGTGAACCAATACCACGATCCACCACCGTCTTGGTATCAAACTTTTCGCATGGTGGCAACCCTTCCACTGATCCACAAAGGCGGTGCCTGCCTGTGGTGGTGACGACCTCGAGCAGACTTTGGTTAGACTGATCTTGGAACTCAACGGAACCACAACAGCTAATCCGGCAAATCTTCGAGAAAATGGAAATTTTGTTGGGGTCCACACAAACAGTGAAGACGGGGCAACCAAGTGACCAAGTGAGTACCTTTGGCACAATGCTAAGCACACCAATTTTCGCTCTTAGTACTTAATTCTAAACAGTTTTACTAGTGTAAAGAAGAGCAATTGTCCCATGACCTACAACTAGCTAAAAATTAGTTGAATTTGTATGTAACTAGAATGTACGAGAAAAGTATTATAACACTAGCTAGGATGAAAATGAGATCGAAAAGAAAACTAAGCAAAACAAAAATGTATAAAATTTACCAAACTGAAACTTGCCACTCACCGTCCTCCTCTCCCACCTCGACCGCCACGGCCTCCACGGCCACCTCGACCACGTTCACCTCCGATTCCTCCACGACCAACTCGTCCTGCACCGCTACCGAATCCGCCACGGAAACCTCCCCGGTCTCCCATTTTTCAGACAGTACCTCAAGCTGAGCTGTAAAACCTTTCGAAACAACAACGAAGCGATAGAGCTCTTCAAAAAGCTCGATTGCAGAATAGGATGGTGCTGTTCTTCACAGTTCGTCTATTTTGGATAAAGGAACGCACTATCGGACAACTATGGTCGAAAAGAACTCATTCCAAAATAGAGCCGTCAATGATCCTACAAGGATATTAGCTTCTAAAGGTTCGAAATTACTCTATAAACTAATTTTCGCCATTTCGAGAAATATCTAAACTTGAAATAACCACAACAACGACTGTCAACGAGCCATTGACTGTACGGAAATCTACGTGGATAGAGCGAATCATACGAACTTTTCCCAAAGCGCCAAATACAACACAACTTTACATGAAACAGTAGCACAGGACTTTAGGGCATCAATGTTCCACACGCGAAACCCGTAAAGCGAATAACACAGCCACGAAACTCGAAAATTTTAGGCTACCAGTGGGACGGGACGGTGGCAATTCGTCGTGGGACCACAGCATTCTGCGTTCGGGCGCCCTTTATACATCACGGGTACAACAGCTCGGAGGAGTGCTTGATAAGCACTACGATAGGGTGCTGATTTTCTCGTCCTTTCAAACTGTTATTGTGGAGCTTATACGACATTGTTAACATGCACTTCTGGTTTATGGTGGTCAGTGTTTCGGCCGCCTCTTTAGTGCCTATATGTACCGTTGGGCAGCAGTATACAGTCTTGATAAAAATCAATACCCATGCAGTTCCCAAGATCGACTTTCTATTAACCTCGCCATTGGATTATAAATCTGTTGCTCTTGTTTTTACAGCAATCGCGAGGTTGTTATTCAACACACGTTTACTTCCTCACAAATATAGCACATAGAACACAACGGTAGCTAACGTTTCGGCAGTATCGCCTTCTTCAGAGCCTGGAAGGGTACACTAATATGTAATTTATCAAGTCAGACGCTTCAACAACGTAAACAGAAAGGTGAGAATCTGAACAGTAATTACACGATCACCGGGTTCTCGAAGAATCATCAATAGCCATGCTTTATTAAGAAGCAGACATAAGGACCAATTTCGTAATCTAAGTTCGTTTCATTTATAATCCTGTGCAAACAACATGAGGATGGTCCCCAGTGGAAAACGAGTACGGTGAGTGCTCCATAGCAGATTAATGTTTTCTTTATTCATTGATTTCTCATTAGGGATGTAGCATACTCACTGAGTAAGATTCTATAAAAATACTATGTTCAGGATGTTAACTTTTTGTTTGCTGCCTATTACAATTTCTCACAGTAAGGTATTATGTAGGGGAGCGTGTGGTGCAGTGGTCGGAGACGCGCTGCAACACACGTGGAATCGATCCCCTCGCCCATGGCCCACCAAGCCCTCCATCCCTCCGGGGTCGGCAAATTGGTACAAGACTTGTCTGGGAGGGTACCAGCACTGGCTCGATACATCGGTAGGCCACCACGAGTCATTGTGAAGGCCAGACATGCATTCAATTTTCTCCAAACGGTGCTTAATAAAGTCGAATGCATGGCGCATCCCTGAAGGATTGATCAACGCCGAGAGCTTTATCCTCTTTTAGTGAATGCAGTCATTTTTATTGTGAAGATGTCTCCACTTTCCTTTACTATTTCATTACAATTAGGGATGCAATTATTTATTATTCTCTACTACAGTGTGCGAAACTATTGATGCGGTGGTAGCTGGCTAATTTGAACATAATTCTAGAACAAATGTAGTGCTGAGTTGAATATGTGAGCAGTGGTAACTTTTTATTTACTGCCTACTGCAGTTTTTCTACTGAAGTTGAAATATTTGCAAGACTCTGGACCATAGGTGACTGCGGTGAGGAACGAACGCGCTATTACCTTTTCCGGGGGCTAACGCGTTCACCACCACACCATGCGCGTCCTTCGTTTCGCCTTGCCCTCAGCTAATTTTGTATCCACCAGTGACATCAGCAATTATCCGTCGTTGTAGCAGTAAATAAAAACGGCGTTGTGGTTTCGACTACAACAGATGAAATGAGTTCGTTGCCGATTAGAGCTCTCGGGGGCAATCCCGTTGACGGGTGATTGCTGATGGTACTGGTAGACAGAGGCGAAATGATGTGGACTCGCATAGTGTGCTGGTGAACGCATTAGCCGCGGAAAGGGTAATAACATGTTCGTTCCCCACCGCAGACACCTACGGTCCGGAGTTCTGCACATATCTCAGCGTCATTGTGGTTGTACTACATTCAGGCTTCTGATAAGGTTGTTGCTGGAACACTGGCTAGCCATCGAAAACAAGATTACTTATGAACAACCTTGTGTCTGCTTAACAGAAACAGTTCGTAAGAACACAAGGAAACTTCATTACTTATTATGACTTCACAGAATGGGAAATATGAATTCAAATAAGCCTTCATAATCATTCATTCTTCAAGATGATATATGAATGCATTGTATCCAAGTTAATACTATTTCCGCCTGCCATACGGATACCTATACTGTAGATAGGGATCGAGATATCGATTAAAGGAGACTTTTTGTCCTTTGAGTGGTTGGTGAAGTGGGAGGCCAATCTCATCGTCGACTGTTTCCGGAGGCGAAAACACTTGTCTGAGGCTGACGTAGCTGGCGTTTTCATGCTGTACCGTGCTATTGTCAATGAATGGAATCGCCAAAATCGGTGTCGGCTGAAATTGAGGCTGTTCCTATAAACGTTACAGTTTATGTTACTTGTTAGCTACTTAACATAGAGACTCACTAAGCCTTTTCAAATCCTGGAATGTTGGCGGAGTTGCACGGATGTTTTTAGGCTACTTGGTATGACTAAAACTTATGACTGAGCAGTTTACTCTAAAGATTAGCTAATAGACGGAAGAACTCGTTAATAAGTCACAGTTCCTTTCCAGTAAAGGTCTGTCTTGCAAAGCACTGCTGTTGGAAATGATGTGCTGCACGGCCCTTAGCGATGAAGCTCTCAGTAGAAATCCTTTTACTTAACTTCTTAATACCTAGAATTCCCCATTTGGCTCAGTACTCTACTGCAATATAGCGGATATTCTTGCAAAGCTCTAAAGCGGTGTGAAATGGTCGAATTCGAGCATTGTCGTTTGCTGTTCGAATTTACAAACTGCAGCATTTTGGAATCTATCGGGAGAATATCGAAAACGAATGAACAATCATTCATCTATTGCACAATGTTGAAAAACAAACGCCGACTACAACTGTAATCGTCACGCAAAATAATGCAATAAAGACCACCCACTTTTTATTGGAAAGCAAAAAGATCCAGGGTACAGTATAGTAGATAAGAAAGAGTACATCCCAATTGCAGATAAAGGCATTCTTCCAGAATCTCTTTGATTTTTGGATATGAGGGCCTTGTATAGAGATTTCCCAATTATTTTTTTTTCGGAGTCTTTTGGCGCGGTTTTTTAAAACTACCTCTATATTTAGGGTGCGTGTGGCGCAATGGTTGGAGGCGCCCTGCAACACACGTGGCATCGGTTCTTGCTCCCATAGCCCACCAAGTTCCCCATCCCTCCAGGGTTGGCAAATTGCTATCAGACTTGTCTGGGAGTATAGCATCACTGGCTCGATACGTCGTCGGGCCACCGTGAGTCATTGTAAAGGCCAGGTATGCATTCAATCACCTCCAACGATAGTTAATGAAGTCGAATGTGTGGCGCATCCTGCAGGGATTGATCAACGCCGAGTGCTTTATTCTTTTTATCCTTTACTTCTATATCTGATGTGAAGGAGAGTAAATGTGGATAAATAGTCTTTAAGTGAATAGATATTGGCATCTGGCCCACGTATTTGTGGTACGTACCGTTGTCAGACTTCTGGCGAATACCTTCAACGCATACAACTTTCTCAGTCTCTGATAGTTGTTGAGATAATAGTTGTAGGTTGTGTGTTCAAAATTTCGTAGCCATAACTGTTCGCGGTAGCTGAGGCCGGCAGTGGTTAGGCAGAACACTAGGACGCGAAAGGTGGTCTCAAGCATATTGACGATGAATCGGAACCCGTTCGCTCCGATAGACAAAGAGATGCCGGCAAACTCGTTCAGCAATGTTTATCATTGAATGGAAAGAAATGACGACTGAAGGAAATTCGGCTACTGCTAATCGTAACCATTTCAACTCTTCAAGCCGAATCCGACGGAATTTGGAACGACATATCTGACGGTAGCTGAAACACATTAGGTCGTTTTAAACAGAAACATGGAAAGGTATCCTGCTCACCCTGAAAACAGCATATGTAGGATTTGCAGACGCGCCGAATTTACCGTAGCCCATAAACTAAAGTGTGGAGCCTGTTGGCGGTTTGATTCCGTGAAGTTATTTCTATCTCTAAGAGCTTCAAGTACTGTTAATTTTGAAACGGTATTTGCGACCTTGCTGATTCTTCGACAACTGGAGATGGTTGTTGGATAACTAAAGCATTTTGGCGATTGAGAGCATGGGACACAGGAAGAACAGGCTTTGCTGTATCGTTTCAGGGTACATATTTTTTCCAGAGTTATAAATTCACTTCTACGTTTGACTCGTGATAGAAACGGACTCGAGTTAGATCGAAAAAGGAGGCAGAGAGAAAGTTTATTGGCTTCGAAAGATCGCGCAAAAGTTGGATAGCTTTTGTCCTGTTTAAAATGGTGGCCAGTGTATTGAATCTTTATTTATTGGTGGTTACGTTAAGAAGAACACTCTCCTATCCATCCTTCTAGCTCCTTCATGAGTGAATGTTCTCGCTTAAGATGTACTTTCGCTAGGTTTAACTTTGTTTTACTTCCTAAGGCTTCAAACTTTTGATTCAGATCAACGTAAGTGCGGTTTCCCAATTCAGTGCCATAAGGTTTTAATTAACAAGAAGAATATAACTGCTAACAGAGAGCCAGGTACTAGTTGTGAAATCTATGAGCCAGCAGTAATTGGATTTTCTATCGTTTACACAGGGCAGACATTTCTTGAATTTATACAGGTTAGCTAATAGAATGTCTTAAAAACAACGAACGCCTCTGCTATTGGATTTAGCGTTATTTCAGAGAAGTTCTATTCTACACAAGTTTCGGGAATGAGAGCTAGAATTTGTTAAGGATTCTAAAAATTCGCTGAGCAGTATTAAGAGCAATTTCCGTGGAAGAAACGGTATAGATTTACCTTGTCTACAGTTGTCCATGTATTTGCCCTATACACCATTCTACTCACTGTTGCCTTCTGAAACACAAGTAATTCGTCGCTTTACTATAAATTCGTCGTTCATCTAAGAAGAGACCTCAGGCGTCGTGCACAAATCCAGTTCAGGATCACGCATAATGCTCCCCATTCCGCCCTCTCGAACCGACCTAAACATTGTAAGTCTGCAGCGCTTAAATCGTTGGACTAGAGTAGAACGTTTGGTAGATGAATGTAGGCAAGAAATCATTAGTCGTATGGTAATTACGAATAAAGTCTTGATTCGCCCCTATCGAGCCACAGAGTTAGGCAGATGTGCTTTGTTTGCAGGAAGAGCACTTCACCAGTCATGTGAAGTCCTTTGATACGGTTTGTCGCGATAGCTTGCCCACATGCCCACATATTGGTTTTCGGATGATCCTGAGGTGATTTATTGTTTCAAGATGACTCGAATTTCTTTTCATATATTTCTCAGCCACTTGATTGCGCATCTTTGGAAGAATCGCCATTCGGGTTAGCAATCTACGGGAATGCGAACACATCCACGCACATATGCCTTCTGCTGCGTAAATAAATCACACTCTTGTGGAGTAGGTTTAGCCATCTCGAGATGCATAGGAGAATCGGAAACTAACCATGATCAAATGAGACATCCCTCATATAAGGGTGATACGTGGATTTCCTAATTATGTGTGAAATATCCACTGAGTGGACCGCTGTGCCGAGGTACTCAGCATTCTTTCGTGCCTCGGGACCGAGGTTAATCACTACCCGGAGAATGGTTTCTCTGAAGTTTTCATCCTATTTTGCTTGTTGTAAGCAACATGTAGAGCAGTAAACGCGTTGCTAATTAGTTTTAAATGAAAATCAAGGCCGTTCCTCACAGATACCGGCACCTTTAACGCCATTAGATTTCGAATAGATGAAATGCCCAATGACTACCTTGCCTGTGATTCCGGTTTGCGGCGGTCAGATGGCACCTATAATGAAAACGTGTCTTGTCGGTTTGAAATATCCGAAACTATATAAGATTAGGTCCGAACCGCCATGATCTTGGAGAAATACGTCACAGAGTAACAAACCTTCCTGCTTTACGATGGTGACAAACTACGGGGAAAATTTAGGCACAGCTCTAGCAGGCCTATCTTGAGATTACAAAGTAAATGATGTTGAAGCACTTTTCGTGTCAATAAGGACAGGACGCGGTGGTAAGCCACCACACACACACACACACACACACACACGAATATGAGTCGGCTCTCGCATGATCCATGAGGTAGGTTCACCTGTTCGGCTAAGTGTATCCGCGAAACAGCTAACTATTTTTAAAGCAGTCAAGCCACAATATTCGGGAGCTGTTATGTCCACCTACCCCATTCCTGTCTCTGGCCGTCTTACTTTTCTCTCTTTCACTGCGTTGTACTTGTTTGCTCTGCTCTTTTCTGTTGCGGGCTTTATTCTAAAAAATGCAGCTTACGGGGTGTTAAATAATAGAGTTAGTTCTCTATGCTGTTTCATATTCTCATGATGTGTTGCCTTGCTTTTCTTCGAAAAATCCTTGAACTATATAAAAACTAAAGGCTGACGAATATACAAAATATTTGGATAGGAACTCATTGGGATATGGTTTTCTCGACTCCTAGTTATTCACTTTTTAACGACTATCTGTGTAATTGATATATTTATTTATGTGATCTTATAAACAGATCTTCCTAAGCTGACGCGAGGTTGGTACAGATCTTCATTGTCGTTGTCGTTGTTTTTGATGTTAATGATCGATGGCTGACATTTCGGCGTCTTCGCCTTCCTCAGAGCCTGGATGTATTTTATATTAGAATATTTTTATTATTCTGTGGGAAAAGGTTAAAGTATTAATGAAGACCAAACTTTCAAATAGACGCCATACTGAACAGAAGGGCCATTCACCGTGATGTTACGTGTGGGACTGGTCCACACGTAGTTCACGTGTGGTCGCGAGCAAGACACACTACAGGATCAAAATATCATTTTGAAATAGAGCGCCAGGTCACGCGTGATAGTGAGGCATTCGTCCTCCTGGTTCATCTTTGGATTTTTGAAATTTATCCAAAACGCCTCAAGAGTCTCGAGCGCTGATGTTTTTGATTCCTGCGCTAGGATCCGCACATTCACTTCAAAATCATCGCCGTTGTGCTTTTGTGCCCTATGCGTACCTAGAGGGGTGTTTAAACGGATTTTAGCTTTTCCATCTAGATGTTCTTTTATGCGGACACAAAGTGGTCTACCCGTTTCCCCGATATCCCTCTCGCCACATGCATTATATGAGATCAAGTATATTATACCTAAACTCGTGCAATCCCCGCCTCTCTCGTTAGGACAAATCATACAGTTTTCTGAGCTGCACAAACGATCATAGAGACGGTTTCGAGCTAACTGACGGCGTAGGGTATTGGGTGGGATGTCAATAATCGTTACATAATTTTCAAGACCACTTTTTCTTAAGCACTTTTTAATGGCGTGACTTACTTCATTTGATATGAAGGGTAGCTCAAAGGGGATCTTACTTACGTTCGAAACATCATTTTGGAGAACTACCCTACGTTTTTGGCTAATCCGAGTGGCTTCCACTTCGTAGCCATTGGAAATAACTATTCTTCATACCAGGTTTAGCGATTTCTTCCTTTCCTCTCCTCGTGTGCACATTTTTAGCCGTACGATACATGTTTCTGATAGGTGCCTTTTTCACGTGTGAAAGATGAGAGGAGAGGTAGTGAACTAGAATGTTTTTACTACTTTTTACCATTTTGTTATATAGCCACTTACTGAGAGCTTTATTTGGATGTTTAAAAATGGAAGCCAGTTCTCTTGAGACTCTTGAGGCGTTTTGGATAAATTCCAAAAATCCAAAGATGAACCGGAAAGACGAATGCCTCCCTATCACGCGTGACCTGGCGTCCTATTTCAAAATGATATTTTGACCCCGGGTGTGTCTTGCTCGCGACTCCACGTGAACTACGTGTGGGCCAGTCGC